ACATGTCTTTTCTTTTGCAGGCCACCCAACAGATCTCCATAATAGCGGCACGGTATCATGGGGTTAGGATGGACCTCCAGCGGGTCCGAGAGCAAAAGGAAGAAGCGGAGGGTGCCCTTGTCAGTGCCAAGGAGGACGTAGCTACCAGGGATTCCACCCTCGTAGGGCAGGTTGCTCAAATCGAGCAACTCCTCAAGGATGCCGAGTTGGCTAAGGTTGGCGCTGAAAAGCTTAGTGCTGCCCTTGCCGACGCTGAAGGGATGATCACAAAGCAGACGCAGCGGCTCTCTGCGGCGGAGGAGAGAGCTGTTGGTTCAGAGGAAAGCTGTCTGGTTCTGACCCAGGAGCTAGACAGGATCAGGGCTGAGGCACAGAACAGAAAGTCCGAGGAGCAACTCCGAAAAGAGTTTTAAATCTTAATCTATAATAACTATTAAATTGATAATAAACTTTATTCAACATCGAAATCTATTGATAAATTCAATGACCACTACAGCACAATTATTATTGTGTTCTCAAAATATATTCTCCAATATGTCCCAACAACATAACTGAAAAATTAAAATTCATAGCAGTTTTTTAATTTAATATGATAGGAACACTCCGGGCTTAAACTTTCGTTTCAAGAAAAGCCATTAATTCTTTTTAGATAATCATAAAAATACATCTCCGTTATTTCTTATAACCAATGGTTCCCTTTCACTATAAAATGAAGACTAAAGGCCTCCACTTCCGACATGTTCTCCACAATTTAGACGTCTTATTCATCAGTTGTTATTAAAAATTTAGTCCTTTTTTAAGTTAAAATGTGAGGGGTATTTGGACTATTTTATGCATAATTCGATAAATTTTTTCTTAGTTCGGTCAAAAGTAGGTCATCCATACTGATATTAGGGTGTTGATGAAATATAAATCTGTCATTATCTAACTCTAAGGGATTATCAAAATTCAATATCAGATGATATGAATTTATAACTTGTCTTGTTACCGCTTAAAATTTATTAAAAAATTTGCACAATCTTGGAAAATTTGCTACTTATTCTTTCCTCCAGCTAATTGGAATCAAATAGAAGTTTTGAACGGTAGGATTATGAATTTTGACTTATGCCAACGGCTAGGGTATTCTGAATGAACAATTTGCAGCATCAATCCTTTCTATCACATTTCATTATTGTATTAGCATTATTTCAATGGTATGAGGTTAATATGGTATTTCTATAAACTCCAGTGAAACATAAAAATAAAGAAAAGAAAGGCTTCCGAAGAAGAAGAAAATGATAGGGAGGATGGTGTTGAATGGCTTCTAATCGTCGGCGTTGTCGCTGCATCGATGAATTCTGAATATTAATTGTTGTTTGTGGTATTCTAAATATAGTAAAATCACTTATTAAAATTTTTGATTCAAAGCATGTATTTCAAAACACAACAGTAACAGTGTAGAACGAAACAGTTGTAGGTACGAAATCAGTAACAAATACGAACAAAACAATGACATAATAAATCTGTATTTAAACAATATAAAAAATTGACCCGTTTGTATAATAGAAACTGTTATTAAACTTTAAGTAGATCAAAATTAGTGTTTGACACTATATCCTTAAGACAGATTTTGCCTCCACACGCAGTACTTATGAAAATCAAAGCGTATGTCTCTTAGGATACAATGATCTTCACTCGAGTAGAAGTAACACTTTAATATACTCGTCTAGCGAACTAAAATTATGTTATTTACTCTCCAAATACAGATTACGTTAATGACGAAATGTAATGCATTAATGCCGGCCTTAGCTATGAAAATTGACGGATGAATTGATGTAGAATGGTAATGAGAGTCTGGGATATTTATGAACAGTCTGGTGGTGACTGTTCCAAACAATTACCATGTGAAAAGACACAACCCAACATTTCCTTTCCTCTCTAGACCTGTGAGACCCATGATTGGTAAGCATTTTGTATAATCGAACACTTACAATTGATATAAAACTTGCCCAACCATAAAAGCTATTGATGCAACAGAATGCAGCAAAAGTATGACCAGCATCGATACTCAAAAAAATTTGGCACACCAGAATTAAGAATATTCTCTCAGAGAAAATAAAATCAATAATATTGAATAAAAAATCTCCCAATTTTAAGGTTACAACCCTATTTATAATACTAAAGTCTAAAACCTTGTAGGCTAAGGAATTCTAATTCTAATAGAATATGAAAACTATTCCTAATAGACTAAGTATATGAACTTACTAATTCTTATCCTACATCAGTTATCAACTTTCTTAGATGACAAATAATTAAAAGGAGAGAATCACTACAGTTCTATTGCAATAATTTGAGACTGCAGGTTTTTTTTTTTGCTTTAATCAGCAAGTGACCAAGTTACTACTATACTTGCGTCCTCGCACGACCCTTTAAAGATGACTTTTTAATGCCTATGGAAGCTGGTGGAGCACATGGAGGAACAAGTGGCCTGGGAGGGAGGTTTGTGGGGGAGGGAGGAGGTTAGCTATAAACTATAAACTTGTTTCAATTGATTTTTTTGGGAATTGTGGTGAACTCGTCCATTTTGTTGAATATAGATATAAATTAAGTTGCGATATTTTAATTTTTTTGTATATCATTCTCAATAAACAATATAGTTAAGTCATTCATAAATTTCCAATTTATCAAAAAAAAAAAAAACTCAGAATGAGTTGACATTTGCTTTATTTTTTCATTTTAATGTTGGCTTTGTTTATTTATTTTTTTTTGAGTTTTGACTGTTGTGGGTAAGATTGTGGGTCTTATTTTTTGAGCGTAATTTTTTTTAATTAGGTTATATTCTTATAAGGCCTTTTTGTTACGCCTAAAAATGTTATGAATATAAAATTTTGATACACACAAAAATTTGGGGCCTTTCATCTTAGATCTTTTTACCCTTAGCTTTTGCTTCTTTTTTTTTTTTTTTTTTCTCTTTAAAAGTTTATTTTGGTATTTTTTTTAATACTAATTAGTGCACACATGCATTGCACGTGAATTATGTTGAGTAATATTTTTATTTTTATTGAGTTTTTACAAGTTAAATCAATATAACATTCTTAGGTGTAAGATATCTCTCTTATTAAAGTTGTGATATTATTTGATTAATAACATGCTAAGTTGTGTTAGGTCCTCCGTTGTTTAGAAGAAAAGAAGTTGCCTTGAGAAGTAAAATTCCCCACAAAAATTAAATCTGTTTAATGGTTCATTACATAATCCAAGTCTAACTTTAGCTTCGATAATTGAAGAAATTCAATTGCACATGGATTACGATAATTGAAGAAATACAATTGCGCAAGGATTACATGTATGAAAACATGCTTCAGTCCTTCTTTTTATACACTAACATGCTTGAATTTAGCATCAAGTAAGATAGGTATCAAACTTTAACACAGTACAATCCGATTTCGACCTCTTGTGGAACAGGAGATGTATAGTATTCCACAGAACCATGTTTATAGGGCAAGATCTTCCATTACTATGAAAAACAACCACCAAAAGAAAAAGGTAACAAAATCTATTAATCAAAGTCTGGAAAAACCTTTCATGGCCTTACCTATTTAAACCAGAATTATATTTAGAAGTACTTAATAAGTTGCTTGCACTTTGGGCATCTCTTTTCCCAATTGCCAGCAGATCTTAAACATTTCTTTCAAACTATACATTTGACAAAAAATTTCAAATTCAATCAATTATTTCAAACTTATACTGAAATTGAATTGAAATTACAAAATTGGTTTTACCTATGTACAGAAGAAGTGGTGCTGGGTTCAAAGAAAACTCCAAACAAATTTGTCAGATGTAAGATCGAATTGAAAACATGAAAAACTTGTTTGTATTGGTAAAGAAAAAAGCCTCTAATAATGCTAAGGATATGTAATATACCTCAACTTTGACAAACTTGTTGAAGTAGTAGTTGATTCTATGCTTCCCAACCAAATCCGGTGAATGACACATACATAGACAAAGAGAGAGAGAAGATTAATAGTTCAATAGATGGACTTGAAACAAAGTTCAATTGGTTATTTAATCCTTATATTCTTACAAGGGATGCAGTGTTGTATCAAGTGACAAGGAAAAATTTTTGCTGTAAATTTTAGCATATAAACAAGACATCATTGTAAATTACCTTACAAGAAATTGGTCTTTTAACCGCAAAAAATATTGTTGTTAAATGCATAAAAATTGTCACTATATACTTTAATGACAATATTTTTATTGTCACTAGGCCGCGGCAATATGTGTGTAGCTAAATCATTTAGCTATGACATTTAATTATTGCCACTAAAGTAAATTTTTTAGCCGCACCATAAAAAATGCCACTAAATATGAAATTTTTAGCCGTCATAATTATTGTAGCAAGTAAACTAAATTTTGCCACTACAATATAAACTAAATTTTACCACTAAAATATATTATATCACCACTAAAAGTCTGATTAAAACTACACTTTAGTGACAACAATTAATTTCGGCTAAAAGTCTATATTTTACCCACAATTAAAATCACCACTAAAATTTGAAACATGAAAAATCCTAAAATCACCACTAAAATTTGAAACAATGAAAAGCCTAAATTCAGCTAGCATATAACAACATCAATATCTTGGACTCAGTTCATTTTTTTTTTTAAGAAAAAGAAGAATTTTATTAAATGAAATTTAAGAATTACAAGAACAGAAACTGCTTACAAGAAAAACAGTAACTGTTTTATCAAAGCTGAAAAATGTTCCAAGAACAATTTAAAAATTCCTGTACATTAACTGCATAATGTCTTCCTAGCTCAGCTGCTGTGCCAATAAACTGATACTGCACAGTTACAGCATCCAGCCCCCAAAACATCCTGGACAGTACCTGCGTCAAAATTAGACTGCTAGGAATGACAAATCACCACATTCAGCTCATTTCCCCCAAACAAAACTACACCAACCAACAACAACAACTTCAAGCAACATAGCACTCTGCCAGACTAGTAATACTGCTCAATTATTCAAGCAAAAAACATCCCTTTGCTACATTAATTGATCCATCACCATCATCCAATCCCATGTCTTGGATTGCTTTTCTAAAAATTCTAACCAATATCAACATTCTCCCCACAGAGCCTTCATTCCTTTCAAGCTGAAAACCAACAAAATTATGATCATGTTTTCAAATTGTCTTTAGTCTTCGGTGATGAGCCTTCCAAAGCTGTTTTCAAAGCTTCCACTGGTTTGTACCTAACATAAATTACCCAACATTAATAGAAATTCAATGAAGAAAATCAAGAGAAGACATATTGGAGATGATTCAAATATATATCAAGACTACATAACTAGTTTATCAAGATTACTAACCCATGAAATAGAACTTTTCCAATTTAAGAGATCTTACCCTGTCACAATGAGGAGAGGTAAGATTTTTCCTTGACTCTTTCATTTGCTGAAAAAATGTGGTGAGCTGAGTTTGAAGCACGGCATGCACCTGTGTTTGTATCCCAACATGCATATTGGACTCTAAGGACTCTGGTCGCGAAGCCAAATCACTGTTTTCCTTCTCCAACGAATCCCAACGCATCCTATTTGTTTCAGCTTGCCTCTTCAATTCCTCATTCTCCTTCTCTAGTTGTGCACGGATGCGCTGTCCAGCTGTAGATGTTGTGGGCTTTGGACCAGCCCCACGACCATGTATATATCATGATTTTTCCAGACTGAGCACTGCTTCAAACCTCTGATCCTTAGTCATGGGGGTAGCTCCTTCCTCCATTGATTGAGCTTCTAGCCTCTTAAGGTTGCTCTACATTTAGAAAAATTACAATTTAGCATTATGTAAGAAGATATTTCAAGGAAATGGAGAAGGATAGAATAATTTACATAGACTTCTCCCGATCTCCTGCCAGCCCTAGCATTCCTCTTCATAATAAACTTGGTTGTTAACCACAGTTGCGTACGGTTAGGCTCCTCTCCAGTCTCGAGATCACGCTATCATGCATTAAACATTAATAATTTTTTTTTACATAAATATGCATGTATACATGTATATAATTAATCACATAAGTGAAATATACATTTAAAAAACAACTCACGCTATCGTAACTAATTCGAGCAAAACTCTTCGTCCCTGCAATATGACCCATGTCCTGTTTTGCTCGGTTCTCCTTGTTTCTTTCACTCATTTTCTGCATTCAAGAATTAAAAGCAAGTTTCAAGCTACCTGTCCAAATAACAATAGCCATAATTAACTAATACACAAGCAGTCCAACACAGTCCAAATGTGTACACCATTCAGTAGTGCAGCATATAAATGTTGAAAAGAGTCCAACACAGTCCATACAAAATAACCAATAAGAGTAGCCCATCAATTCGGGCTCACATCCTTATCCTTATCCTCATCTATGTGGTAAAACATCAAATCAAGTACGGCAGCCTTAATATATAAGAGACTACAATCACGACCAACCAAACTCACATGGCTGCTTCTTTCTATGGCACTATGCAGACTGATACAATACCCAACCATCTTTAAAAAAAAATTGGAAAAAGAGAAAAGGGACAGGAAAAGAAATAAGGTAGGCAGATAAAAAGGAAAGAACACAAAAAAGGACACCACATAAGGGCTGCAGTCCAAACTTCTATTGGTTAGTCTACAATGGCTACAGACCTATGTCCTACAGCTAATATTAGTAAGGAAAGAAAAAATAAAAGCATAGAAATGGAGCAGGCATCCAACAAGAAGGTATAAAACATAAGCTCTGCAATGCTTCAAGACAGAGCAGCTAAGCCCCTCCAGCAGCAGCAAGGATTGGCCCATTGGATCTGAAGCCAGAATAGATAGTTCTTTAAGACAGAACTATCTTAAAGAACTTATGAAGATATATAAAGAACTTATTCTTGTAAACCATCTTTTTACAAGAATAGATAGTTCTTTAAGACAGAAAAAACAACATATGAAGATATAAAATGAAATCAGTGTGCATAAGTCAAAATAGACGAGTTACTTGTGATTTGCTTAATTGCTTAATTGGTCATAATGGCAGAAATTCTCTTTTGAGTTTCCCCATTAATGTTGTGACCTAATTTTGGCTCATCTTTTGGACTCGTAGGGCGAACGAGCTTCTCAAGTCATTACTCACATACATCATGATCAGGTTGTTCCAAAGGCTGAGCAGCATCCTATCATTTTTTTATGTTGAGTATTTTATTTAATTGGTTGTGCTATGCTCTAATTTTTAAGTCTAATTTTTAAGTCCATTTAACATTTCTCAATATGGAAACATAAAATACTTCAATATCTTGTAACTGATGCATTCCGTGAACATTAAATATTTACTTTAAAATTTATTAAGGCCTTAAACTTGAAATAAGTAAACGTAGCCATTACAACAAGGACAAAACTAACATTAGAGTATTAACCAAGGGTATAACGGATAATCAAAAGTTGTTCTAATATCTTGACATTTTAAAGTAGTATAGATTATGAGCTGGGTTTATGAGTTCAAATTATTTAAATTTATTTTTAATTAGTTTTAGATTTTTATTGAGCTTTTTTGGGCCCTAAAAATCTTATGAATCTAAAAATTCTGATTTGAACTAACAATGCACCTTCAAATTTAGGGGTGGACCTAAACCCAGGCCTTATTTGCCTTCTGACTGGACCGGCCTTGAGCCTATGAAAGGTGGTGGAGCACATGGGTTAGACTATAACCTTGTTTCAGTTGACTTTTCGGACAATCGTGGAATCCAGCTAATTGGAATCAAACAGATGGTGTGAACGGTTGGATTATGAATTTTGATTTATGCCAACCGCTAGGATATTTTAAATGAACAATTTGCAGCATCAATCCTTTCTGCCACATTTCATTTTTGTATGTATTAGCAGTATTCCAATGGTATGAGGTTAATATGGTGTCTATATAAACTACAGGAAACTCAAAAAGTAAAGAAAAGATAGGCAAAGAAGATGAAAGGAAGGTTAGTGTTGACATGGCTTTTGATCGTCGGCGTTGCGGCCGCATCGGTGAAATCCGACTATTACTCCGATAGCGTTCCTCATGAACCGAAGAGAGAGAAGGAGACACACCTTCACTTCTTCATTCATGACATAATCACCGGCAAAAACCCAACTGCACTCAAGGTTGCCCAAGCCAATCTCACAGGTATCGACACCAACCCAACAGGGCCAACACCCTTTGGCTCCACTTTTGTCGTCGACGATCCACTCACCACCGGCCCCGATCCGACGTCGGAGGTCATCGGAAATGCTCAGGGTGCCTACGTATCATCCAGTCAGGGCAAAGACGTAGTTCTGGTACTGTACCTTGATTTTGGCTTCACGACCGGCAAATTTAATGGAAGCTCCATCAGCGTTTTTTCGAGGAATCCGATAACGGAGCCGGAAAGGGAGCTTGCAGTTGTAGGAGGGAGAGGGAAGTTTAGGATGGCAAGAGGGTTTGCTAAGCTTAAGACTTATTCTGTTAACCCTACTCTTGGCAACGCTGTGGTTGAGTATCATGTCACCGTACTTCATTACTGAGAGCTAGCTTGGGTTTGCTGAACCAATTAATGGTCGGGTGCTAAGGGAATTCATGTCTAGTTTCATATTTTATTTTATTTCTTTTGAACTTTTCTAAATAAGGAGGGTGCAACATCATGATATGGGAGTTAAGGGGTTTGAGTCGCCTGGGGTAAGATTTCATATTCAGAGTCAGGCTCTATAGTACGGGAATATCATCATGTATTGAACTATTTTTTGTTATTTTTCATGTTCTACTCATTTAAGTAAAAATAAATTGTCATCGTTCTTTATATTGATATTACTTTTTGAAGTAATCATTATTGGGTCTTTGCTCTAACGCAGTAGGAATTAACAGCTAACAATTTTTAGAGACGTGGATGAAAAGTGATGGATTGTTTTCACATGGTCTTCAAAGAAGGAATCTGTTTCTGTTGTTGCAGTGTCTACTTGTGAGGAATAGTATGTAGTGATTTGCAATAAAATACAAGCCCTATTTGTCTTTCTCACTCTCACGTATATATTTCTTCCTTACGCACATAAACCAAGTTTTGCCCACCACCTAAAACATGTCCGCTCTCTCTCTCTCGAATGCACACCCACAGAAGGAGACGTAACCCAAAATTCTGTTGCCTTATTCACTGGCATTGGAATCTAAAACTATATCAGCAGATTGGATGATTGCCTCACGGACAGAACTAGAAATTTATCATGAGGGGGACTAAATAAAATCAGCGGCATATTTAAGAACTTAATAAAATGAGATTATCGATAAGTTATTATCAGTTTTATATTTTTAATTATGAAGACCTTATCATTATATGATAGTATAACAAAAATTTATCATTATTAAATTTAATTTGTGTAACAATTTCATGGGCCACTTATTCCCTTCTCCTTCTCTGTGACATGATGCAAAAATTTTGAATTATATACAATCATAATTATTCGCATGATATCACTATAAACGTTAGACGTGCGTCAATGCATTATTGATGATATAAAGTCACGTTTATACCTTGATTTTACAGAACATTTCTTTCTTTCATTTTTTGTTGGTAATAAAATTTGTCCAAACAAAAATTTTCTTCTATAAGAATTCACGGGTCCTTGTGAATAATATCCTCCATTTGGTTAGTAAATGTTTAATTTCATGTTATTGTACTTTTCGAATGCTCTGACTAATGAATATTTTAAAAACTTACAAAAACATACAATTCTTGAAAACTTACAAGAAAAAATTAATTTTGAATATATGAGGGCACGTCACGGCTAGGGCTGTCAAAATTTAACACGACACAATTAACTGACACGAATTAAGCGGATTTGAGTGATAAACGGGTTGACATACCAAACACGTTTAATGAACGGGTCGTGTTCGGGTGAGATCTGTCAAACCGTTTATCATACGTTTACCCGTTTAAATAAAATTAATATAATAATAAATTAATATTTATTTAAAAAAATTAGCAAGAAAAAAAAAAGTAAAGAAATCAATAAAAAAAAAAAGTAAAGTAATAGTTCAAAGACAAAAGAGAGGAGATGAAGAACACTTCAAAGACAAAAACAAGTCTTATTTGTCCCATATTGAAAAATGAGGGGAGATGGAGAGGGTTGAGTTGTATATAAAAAGTAATAGCCTCTTACTTCTTTTTTTTAAGCCTTCAAGTTTTATTTGTCCTACATTAAAAAATGAGGGGAGATGAGGAGAGTTGAGTTGCTTATAAAAAGCAATAACCTCTTTTTTTTTTTTTTAAAGTCTTCAAGTCTGATTTGTCCCACATTTAAAAATGCGGGGAGATAGGGAGGGTTGAGTTTCCTATAAAAAAAATAATGACCTCTTACTTTTATTTTTTTAGGCCTTTAAGTTTTATTTTTATGAGATTTGACTAAAAAATCTTCTTTTTTGAGGTAAGTGCAATTGCAATAAAAAAAATGGAGTATTAAAATTTCTTAATATAATTTTTTTAAAATTAAATGGGTTAAACGAGTTGTGTCGTGTTATCCATTTATTAAACATGTAATATACGAATTTATATATTTTTCACCCTTCAGCCGTTTAATTCGACACGTTTCACACTCCTAACCACCACGGCCCTCGGTCTCTACGCAGTTCCGTCATTGTTGCCGGCAAATGTTGGGAATAAATTTGTGTGAAAGTCATCCTTTGCCTACATTCTCTGTGTATATCAAGTGTATAATATTGTTTATGCTCAAAGTCAACCCGACTCACTTTTTGAAGCATTTTTTTTTAATCAATCCAGATTGTTTTTCTTTTTGTTTTTAACACTTCCGTAATTGAGATCAAATAGCCAAAAACAAAAACAAAAAAATCGAGATGTAATCAAGGGACAAAAGAAAAATCATGGCAAAATAAATATTTTTGGTAAACTAAATTATAATTTTCACATAGTGGATAAGGTTTGATAATGTTTAAAAGAAAAGAGAGTGTACTATATATATGTTATTCAAATATAATTTAGGGACGTAGTTTGAGAACTTAATCTATAATAACTAATAAATCGATGGTAAATTTCATTCAACACCGAAATCCATAGATAACTTCAATGACCACTATGGCACAATTATTGTGTTCTCAAAATATATTCTCCTATATGTTCCAACAACATAGCTAAAAAGTTAAAATTATTGGCATTTTTTTAATTTAATATGATAGGTCCGGGCTTAAACTTTCATTTCAAGAAAAGCCATTAATTCTTTTTTAGATAATCATAGAAATATATCTCCATTATTTCTTATACCCAATGGTTCCCTTTCACTATAAAATGAAGATTAAACGCCTTCACTTAGGAGTGCAACTCGAGCGAGCTGAGCGGGTTAGACAGTTAATCCTAACTCAATTCTAGTTATATAATTTTCAACCTTAACCCTACCTCGAATTGAGGGACTCAACCCAAGCGCTACCAGAGTTTAATTGGGGCGGATTCGAGTTGAACTCAAGTTAATGATTTTAGGCTACTTTACGGTTCAATTCAAGTTGAATTCGG